CCCGTGGGCCCCGCCGTGGGGAGCGGGGCCTGGGCAATGGCGATCTCATTCCTGGTGACGGTGACAACCCCCGTCTGCTGAGAGCTGAACTCAATGGGTTCGCCATCCTCCGCATCGAATACGATGGTCACACACTCCTCCGAAGACGTCCTCCTGACCACCCGCTGCCGCCGCAGGAGGCCCAGCGTCCCCGGCCTCTCCACGTGGCTGGGCGCGCGCTCCTCCTCCCCGGGAGGCCCGAGCGGCGGCCTCCCCAGCCCCACGAGAGTGTCCAGGTTCTCCGTGGACTTGTCCGTGTCCGTGGCCAATGACAGGTCCGAGGGGCTCTTCTCGTCACTGCTCCCGATGTGCAGCTCGTCGAGGGTGTCGTTGTCATCCGTGTCTGAAAGCTGGAGGCTGACAGCCACGCGGCCCCGGCTGCGGGGACCCCCCTCGCTCTGTCCCCGAGGCACCTGCACACGTGGGCACAGCTGCCTCTCCGAGGAACAGCTGCTGGCACCGCTTCCCCGCTTTCCCGGTCTCTCTCCGGGGTAAACGCCTTCTGAAAAGTGTCTTCCGTTCGGCTCCCAGCTGAACAGGCTGTCTGAAACGCTGTGGGTCAGCTGACAGCCATGCAGCCTGCAGGCCTGGCTGGGAAAGGCCTGGGCCCACGCTAAGGAGGCAGAGTCCTCATCGGCGCCCTCGTGGCAATCTGTGTCATAAACAAATGCCTGGTGGGGCTCCTTGCAGGCGCCCCCCATGTCTGCTGTTTTGCAGGGGGGATGCTCCTTGGGGCTACTCTTGATCCCTGGAGAATATATTCCTTCATTGGAGTTCATGCAATCTTTATAGCCCCATTTGGTTATCACGGAGGGAGGTTCAAGTAACACTGTTCGCTTCTGCAGCTTTCTCAGTCCTTCCAGAATGTGGCTTTCCTTGATTCGCGTCAGAGGTAGTTCGTCGGTAGGACTAGCGAAGCCACTTGGGAGCGAGGAGTCAATACTTAGCCTTTTATCCCAGTTTTGTGATGATGGCTAGGAAGGAAAAGCAGAGATCAGAAAGGATAGAGTCCTGTGGATCACACTTTTATAACGGAAGTCCATCCCTGAACTTCCTTTGTTCTAGTGGCTGACAAATATTCACAATACATGCATACATGAATTAATGCAACTTAATTAACTATGAAGCAGATTTCTACTTTGCCAGGCTCTGAGCTAAGCAGTGTATCATTTAAAGAAGTAGAGAATAAGGACCTGCCCTCAAGCAGCATGCACCCAGCAGAGGAGAGGGCTTGAGCACAAATAACTGAAAGTCAAGGGCACAAATGGGTGCTCTAGAAGTTCAGGGGAGAGAGACCATACGTCTGTTTGGAAAAACCTCGAAAGCCACATAAGGTAAGGTATTGCCTTTTTTAAAAACCTACCTAGCCACTGAGAAATGGCTAGTTTTGCTTTAGTTTAAAAATGGGGAGAATGATTTCCAGAAGAAATGTGATGGCAAGGATCCAAACTGGGAAGGTCAGTTTAAGGTACATTTAGGGAATAACCAAAGACAGTTTGGCCTCAGTGTACATGAGAGGTAGAGGATGAATGGAAAAGTAAGTTAGCCCATGTCTTTATGGTGCCTTCCATTCTAACTCTGGATGGTTACAGCGTCATGTGACTTCATGACTTTGTCATGCAGGGAATACCTGGGAAATACACCCACACAAATAGCAGTGGGCATTTGCTGTTAGAACCCATAGTGATGACTCACCTACTAACTGAGAAAAGTCAATTTCCTGTCCTCAGACAGTATCCAATACTTGGGTTAGTTTTGGAGAAGTGACCAAGAAATGACATAGAAAAACATACTGCATTCTACACAGACATTCATATGTTTTCATAGTATTGGTAACAGGACATGGAAGGGCAGAGGAGGGAACTAACGTTGCCTAAGCACCTGTTGTGTACCAACCACTTACATAGAAGTTCAGGGGAGAGAGACCATACGTCTGTTTGGAAAAACTTCGAAAACCACATAAGGTAAGGTGTTGCCTTGTTTAAAAATCTACCTAGCCACTGAAAAATGGCTAGGTTTGCTTTAGTTTAAAAAAGGGAAGAATGATTTCCAGAAGAAATGTGATAGCAAGGATCCAAACTGGGAAGGTCAGTTTAAGGTACATTAATTTTCAGAACAACACCATGAAGGACACATTGCCATCCTGTTTACTAGGGAGGAACCTGAGATTCAGCAAGATCGGTCTGTTGGAAATCACACAGCTAAGGAAGAGCTGGTGCAAGGGTGTGAACTCTAGTTTCCTGGGTTCTTCCTACGACTGACTTCCAAAGTGGCCTGTGGGGCTTTGAACCCAGGCAGCCTGGCTCTGGGGCCTGCACAACTTCATCTCGATGCCGTACCGCCGGAGTTAAGATCAGTTTCTTTTCTCCCCTCTATATCAGTCAATGTCATAATAGAGATCATAGGTTATCGCCGCACCTCTCTCCAATGGAACTTGCAGTTTAATCACAAACCAGCACACAGGAGACCTGGTGGGATGTGGGCACTGACCTAATGCCTTTTTTTAAGGCTGTAAAATTAATGGTGAAGAATGTCACCATTAATTCTTCTTGACAAAGAGTGCAGTTACCATTGGCATCTCCACACCAGCTAACCTCTGTCCCATAACTCTCAACACTAACCATGTGCTCACAGGCAGAGGTTGAAAATGTGTCAGACTCTTACACTGGAATCTCAGCTTTTCAGTAAGCTGTGAACATTTGTTTACATCTAAGAGATTTTCATAAAAATTACTCTTGCTATCAACAATATATATTGTTTATCTGTGTTTTATTTATTTTCTTTTTTAAAAAATTCTTATTGTTGGAAGTATTACATATGTCCCCATTTCTCTCATACTGATCTTTCCCACTCCCCCACCCCCACTCCCAGGCATTCACTACCCTATTGTCTGTGTCTGTGGGTTGAATATCTATGCATATGAGTTCATTGGTTGATCTCCCTCCCACACCCTCCCCTCCCCGGCCTTCCCTCTGAGGTTTGACAGTCTGTTTGATGTTTCTATGCTTCTGGGTCTATTTTTGTTCATCAGTTTATGTTGTTCATTATCCACATATGAGTGAGATCATGTGATGCTTATCTTTCCCTGACTGGCTTATTTGGCTTAGCATAATGCTCTCTAGCATATTTGCTTTAAAAAATTCTTCAGGGTCCTAAGTGCTGCGGATAGATGCTCTTTGTGCTTCCCCTCCACCCTCCTCTTCCCCTGCACCATTAAAAGTCCTTCGGAAATCAGAAGAAATCCTGTCAGTGAGTTTGGGAATTATAGACCACCCAGTGAGCGGACTGCCACAGCCTGGCTTTCTGAGAATGTCCATGATCTCCACAGTCACATTCACAATAAAGGAGAGAAGACAGGCTCTAAGTACCCAGCGAGAGCTTGAAAAGGCTGCTTTAATCAACCCTTAGAAGATGTGCTCAGCACCCGGCCATCCACACCCCTCTCCTCTCCAGAACCTTCCCGTGCTGTGGTTTAATTTGTCCCAGGGCCAGTGGCTGCAAACCTCCCAGGGCCCAGGATCTCTGCCCGGTGAGATTGGCCACATTCCTCAATCAGCTGTACACAGGAGGTTCTGGTACTCAATAACGTGAGAAAAGTTTGGAACAATTTGGAAACTTGAAAAAAAAAGCAAAAAAGCATGAATCCCCATGGGAGAGACCACGGGCGGAGCTGGCATGTCCCACAGGCAGCTTCATTCTTTGCAGAGTTGCTCTGGGAGCAGTTGGCTGAAAGATGCTGCCGAGGCAGGGGCTTGGGTTTAATTCACAGTCCTTTCCTATTTCTTGACTGGACTACAGTTCTGCACATTTTTTTAAAGGACATTCTTGGCCTTTTTGGGAACAAATCCATCCCAACAATTGGAACAACTCCTCCAAGTTTTAGGCTGATTCAACAAGGCCGGTGTAGCTCAGTGGTTAAGAGTGAAGGTTCTGGAATCAACAGCCCAGCTCTGCTACTTCCTGGCTATGAGATCTTGGGCTAGTTCCTTAATTTCTCAGCACCTCAGTTTCCTCATCTATAAAATGGGGGAGTAAGGGGGGCTATTTAATAAGCTATCCTGAATGTTAAATGAGCTAATACCTAGGAAGTGCTAACAAAACTGTGTGGCACATGGTAGTTACTCATTAGGCCAAATTGCTCCATAGCGGGCAGGCTAAGTATATCATGCGGGCTTTTTTTCTGTTTCTAAACAAAACAGCATTGTTTCTAAACATAACAGCAGTAAAAAGGTATACTTATTGACTACAATATACTACCATTGGCTATATATTTATTCGTATGTAAGTTAATATTGTATTCACGTTCAAATTCATATTATATATATTATATTTATTATTATATATATTATATAAGTTAATACTAAATGAGTACCTGGCACAGAGTAAGAACTGTAGAAGTTCCTTAAGTAATATGAATTTGAGCTATTGTTGTAAGACTGTGTCTAGTTTGCTGGATCCCTGAGAACTGGGACTTTTCTCTGTGCTATGTGGCAGGTGTGCTCCTACACCACAGCCATTCTGAGCCAGGACCCTGAAATCTCTGGATCACGGCCACCTGAGTGTCCTAAGAACCTTATTGCGCCGTTTTCAGGAAAGACGTTTCCCTAGAAGATGAAAGATTGTTCTAATTAAAAGAATTTCAGCCAAAAGGTAGAAAGAAAATAACAAAAAAGGCTCTGAGAGGAAGAAAAAGGAGTGTGAGGGCAAAACAGCAGAGCAAGGAGCTCTGGGAGCCAGTGGCAAAGAGAGGGGCCATCCCTGACCATCTTCCCAGTTGGGTGAGCGCCAGGCCCCTAGCAGTCATTATTCACAACCCCAAACATCTCCTTCAAAGGGACAGTTTTGATAATGCCCCAGACTGCTCACTTTGTATTAGAAGTCTGAGTCCAAGGGAATAAGCCCCAAATTCTAGTTTAAAATCCTTCCCTGAGTTATTGTTCAGGGTATGACAACGTTACCCCTTCACCAACATTTTCTGGAAGTTAATGGAATTTTCTGGTTTTCATGCTTCTGAAATTGTAAACTTAATTTACAAGAGTAAAAAAAAAATGACCTCCAAACTGTCTGATTTGGGGTTTCTATTCTCATTTACTCTTGGCTTTTCTTCAACATGAGGAAACTGCAAAAACAGCTATTTCAAATACTTTCTTACATCACTGTGCAAAGATATTTGGAAAAAGCATGAAGGAATCTCTGGTTGTGTGAGCCCACTTCGTAGATGGGACTCATTCCAGCGGTAGAGTTATCTGCAAGCCTGGTAAAGGGACTCCCGGCATCGAAATAGGGACATGCCGACCCTCACTGAGCCCTGGTGCCGGTCATCTACCATTGTACTTTCTTTCTCTATCATGCTACCCTCCAATTTATAGTCAATTAGTTGTGTGACTTCTGGCAAGTAACTTAACCTTTTATGAGACTATTGAGTAGAAAAGGTTAATATAATATATGCTATTTTTGAGCAGTGTATTTTTACAAAGTGAACAGTACTCCCAAAATTCTGGCCATTTATTGAGATAATCTACCATTCTCCCTATTCTCCAGGAAAAAAAAGAAGCAAAATTCTCTTGGCACTCTCATGGGATGCTCAGTCTGGAGTGGCGTGGCACGTGGTCTTGCTGACTCATTAGCACTGAACAGTAACAGGCCTCTCTGAGCAACACAGTGATGGGGAATGTTCATAAAGCTAATGGGAAGCGTCTGAGTTGGTCTGTAGTGTGGACAGTTCCATCAGGCCAGGGCTCCATGTTCCAGGCTCCACCGAAGCACGGAGGGAACTGTCTTCGTCTTCCCAACTCCCTCCCACTATGTCCAAGTCAGTGGGGATCAAATCAACATTCCACTCCTCATGTGCTGTGCGACTTCTGGCAAGTAACTTAACCTTGTGTGAGCCTGGTTCCTCTGCCTCATAAAGGGGACACCGTTATCTCCCTACATAGTTTTTGCGAGGAGTAAGTGAACAGGTACTCAGAAAAATGGTCATTTCCTCCTTAGCCCTCCCGCCCACCTCCCACCTGCTCCTAGAAGATTATTTCCTGGTTCACTCTGACGGTGATGCGCCTTGAAAGGAGGCCTTACCCTTCTCCTGAGGTTCTTCCCATCGTGCCATGTGCAGGAGGAGCCGCTGGAGTACTCGCTGCAGGTGCTGGAGAGAGACAGCTCACTGCTGCTGCAGCGACTGCGGGGACAGAGTTGCCCGGGGAGGACAACCCCCATGCCAGGGCCTTTCAAAGCAGGGGCTCCTGACTTGGCGCTCAGCTGGCAAAAAAGGAGGGAAGCTCTGAGCTGGGGCTTTGCTCAGGGGACAGGAGATACCACCCAACCTCCTAGTGAGGCAGAAGTTAATAGAGCAAACCAATCTCCCAGAGCTACAGTTTTCTTTTTAAAAAGTGAATGATAACAATACTGCCTACCTTCTAGGGTTTACTGCAGGGACCAGCTGGGGTTCTAGATGGGAAGCATATGGCACAGTATCTGGACTAGGTAGTGCCTGATTATTGAGAGCTACCATCCTCATTAGGTAGAAGGTCACCTAATGGAAGTTTCCCATTTTATCCAGTCATGCTGGTCAAGGAAGCAGACCGGTATCAAAACATGACTCTAATGCTACAAAAGGAAGAAACCAGGGTCATATCTTTGGCTGGAGTTTAAGAACATAAGCGCTGGACGGAGAGCCTAGCACCTGGTACACCCTGCCACAGACAGGAGAGCTTGAGCAAGGAACACAGTTGGCTTCCACAGACTCCATGGACCTGGTAGAATTGGGCAGTTCTACCAGATTACCCCGTGGCCCCTTCCGGCTCTGATGCCTCATGCTAAGTCAGGAATCCGATGCCGGGGCATTTCTGTGCCACCTTCCAGAAGGCCATGCACACTGCAACACCAACCTCAGGACTAAGGAGGTTCTGAAAGATAATGGGACTTTCCTATCAGTTGGCTGTCCAAATGGTAAAGGCTGTCTTATCAAATAGATCTGGTACCCAGGCCGAAGATCTAGGTGGTTCAAGTTCTAGTGGGTCTGCATGAGCCACCAGTGACAAAGTTGTAAACATCCCAGCTCTTCTTCACAGCCACTTCATGGGCCCCTCACGTAACAGATGAAGCAACACAAACTGGACAGGCTAAATTAATTGAGCTCCCGACCATGGGAATGGACTCTCTCCATTACCGTCTAATTCCGCTCTCCTATCTATGTAACGCTTTGTCTCAGGAACACTTAGATGGGGAACCATCTGTCTTTGTGTCACTTGCAGAATGGCAAAGCCTCTTAAGTATGCAATTTATTGACACTTTATAGGTGCCTTTAGTACCCGAGTACTTATCAGTGTCCTCCAAATGCAATTCTAACTGACGGTGACTAAATACTGGCTGGGGAGTGAAGATAATGCTGTACTGAGAGTACTTGTGGTGAATCTGAAACCCCTACCTCCGTACAGAGGGCCTGTCTAATTTGCTGCCTAATCAATATCCATAACGCTTAATCATGCTAGATTTCCACTGTTAGGCATCTGCCTTGCTATCAATACTTCATTTTTGTGGCATAACAATCTCTTTAAGTGATCTTAAAATGACCGAAAAAATATTGTACTACTCTATTCCCCCCCCGTTCCCCCCCCCCCCCGCCTTATCAAAATTCCCCCCCCCCCCCCCCCCCCGGAATTTGACTGTAAATATCAATTAAAGGAAAAACTTGTCTTAAACTCCAGCTTTTAATGAGATCTATTAATATGACCTTGTTTATTGCTGGATGTGACTTAAGGAGAGTTCATATTTGTATCACGACCGATGCCTCCAACCTGTGGTCTTACTGCACAGACACACCTGGCGTCTGGCTTCGGGACTGCGGCCATGTGGACACCCTGAAGGAAGCCTCGGAAATGTCACACTGGGCGTCACTTCTGTGGTGTGCTTCCTGTGTTCTCATTCTGTCTCTCATATTTGGTTGCCCGAGTAAGTACGTGGGGGGTTACTGAGGACTAGCTTTTCTCTGACAGATGTGTGTTGCACGACCACCCAGACCTAAGCCTGCCCAATGGCCCTTTTCATACTCTGCGTGGCTTCACTACAGTTTATATTCCACCTTTTCCCAAGATACTGAAGCTTATATTTCCCACCTATCCCTTCCCAACACACTTATCAGCATTATTGTGATTGCCACCTCACTCCATTCCTAGGCCTCTTTTAACAAGGAAGCTTTCTGGTCCAGTTGTTGCCCATGTGTGCACCCATGGCTTAGGTGCTGGATTCAGATGACAGGAAGTTAGAACTAGGAAGGTGAGCGGGAGGAGGAAGAAATGGCTGCCTCTCCCTTGACTTTGAACTTGAGATGCCCAGATGTGATAGGAGAGTCTCTAGGAGGTGGGAAAGGCCCATCCATGTCATGGAGGCAGGTGGGGTTGGTTTAGCAGAGACATGTCATCTCAGCTATCATATAGAATTATCTACTCTATTGAGTCACTGTTCTGTGATTGAGCATTTGAATTCTGAGGCCATTTGTTTTGTTTAAATCCTGGTTATTCCACTTGCTAACTTTGACATTGGGACACGTCTCAAGCCAGGCTTCTACACTTTAGTGTGGATACGAATCATCCAGGATCTTGTTCAATACAGATTATCATTCATTCTGAGGTGGGACCTGAGCTGTGGTATTTTTAACAAGTTCCCAGGTACCTCGTTGCTGCTGGCCCAGGCTCCATGCCTTGTGTAGAAAGCCTCTAGGAGCAGCTATGAGAAGGTCTACCTATTCTGTGGATATCATGGTAGCATGTTGTGTGATCTCACAGTCCGACATGGGCCGAGCTGAGCAGGACCAAAGGTACAAAGGTATGGCCATGGGCAGTGGAATGTGGTGTGTGTGTGTGTGTGTGTGGGGGAGAGACAGAGAGAGAGAGATAGAGAGAGAGAGAGAGAGTGAGAGAGAGATTGCAGAGTAATTCCCTGCAAAGAAGAGGAAGCAGCTAGTCCTCCCTACTGGGAAATTCTCCCACCATTCTCTCACCTTAGACAATCGATGTTTGAATTTAATAAGGGACTCAGAATCTCTGACATCACAGCTGTAAAATGAGCTCTTTTTCCTGCTGTTTCTCTCTTCACAGCACATGATTATCATACAGGATTATCTCCTCTATTGAGTCACTGTTCTGTGATTGAGCGCTTGGATTCTGAGGCTATTAGTTTTGTTTAAATCCTGGGTTTCCACTTGCTAACTTTGACATTGGGAAAATTACTTAACTCATCCATGCCTCTGCTTCTTTCTTCGTAAGTGGAGAGAATGAAAACACCCCTTACATAAGATTATTGTTAATTTTGAACAATTCCTAGTGTATAACAATGCTTAGTAACTTTTAGGTGTTGCTACTATTATTATAAACTAGAGGCCTGGTGCACGAAAATTCTTGCACTCGAGGTGGGGAGGGTCTCTCACCCTAGCATGCACACTCTCACAATCCAGGACCCCTTGGGTAGGGCCCAGTCCCATCACAGCATGGCTCTGGTTCCCCAGGCCTGCAGGCGGTGGGGAGGGACCAAGAGGCCAGTTTGATCAAAGCATGGCTCTGGTTCCCTGGAGCCTGAAGGTGGGGGGTAGGGACCAAGAGGCCAGTCAGATGGCAGCATGGCTCTGATTCCCTGGAGCCTGTGGGTGGGGGGAGGGACCCAGAGGCTAGTCAGATGGCAGCATGGCACTGGTTCCCTGGAGCCTGTGGGTGGGGGGAGGGACCCAGAGGCTAGTCTGATGGCAGCATGGCTCCATTCCCACAGCTCCCTCCCACTGTTGCAGTATAGGCGGCCAGAGTCCACAGCTCCCTCCCACTGCTGCGCCGCAGGTGGCTGAGACCCAGGAGTGACTCCTGCTATGGGCAGCTGGGACCCAGGACTGACTCCCGCCTCGCCGCCGGGACCCAGGACTAACTTCTGCCTCGCTAGCTGGGACTGTAGCCTGGTATTCGGTCATCCGTACAGACGTTTAGGTTGTGACAGACCCTGGCTCTTTATATATTAGGATGTTTTTATATACATGTGTTGGCTCTTTAACTAAATCATAAATTTAGAGCCTCCCTCAGGGGCCCTAGATGATACTTGACAGGCCATCATTGTCTGCCGCCTTGCATGCAGGAGCCGTGATGAGCAACAGCCAACAGAGTGTATGTTTTGTTTCCAGGGATCACTGATGTGAGCTGCCAGAGAGACACGCTGGTAAATACCATCCTCAGTTACCAGTCTCCATCTTTGCCATGTCATTGTGCGGCTGAGGCATGGTGCCACATTCTTATGAAGAACAGAAGAGAGCTTATTATTGAAACCATTGTTAACGGGCACTATGTTAAGTACAGTTTATGTATTATCTCACATAATCCTCACCACAATCCTCAGAAAAAACAACAACACCCAGCCATCGTTATGCTCATTTTCAGATGGGGAAACTGAGGCAGTGAGGTGTTAATATCTAAGGGCACCCAGCTGATATGATTCTGATGTCAGACCCAGATCCTAGCCACTATGCTATAGTAAGGCCCTAACAACAGCAGACCTCCTGGACATATCTACCAAATATCTTACCGTGAAGAGTTATAATTTGTAATTGAAAAATAATGATTATTAAAATTCTTCTTTAAAAAAATGTATACTGGCTTCCACTGCAACATTATCTTATTTTGATTTACTTGGCAAAATACACCTCATTTGCACTATTCAAAGTATATTTTAGATTCCTATCTTGAATCACTCATGTGCTTTAACATCCTTACTGTGAAAAATGCCATACAAAATCCATAATTTTAGCTAAGAAAAAGGATAGAGAGGATAAAGGCAAGAGTTCCTCGGATAAAAACTGCACATTTAAAATATTCCTGACCTTAAGGCCATATTACAGATAGGATACCATTAAGATATTCATAAATATTTAAAGTGATGGAATTCCACTAAAATTTCATTTCAATCTAACTTGAGAACATTTACCTTTGATAAAGGATATCCTATCTATACTTAGAAAAATTATACAGTAAAATAAAAAGCCAGTTATTCACAATGTTCATCTGTCATTGTTTTAAGCAAAAGATTTTTCAATATATATTTATTTGGCTGTGGTTTTTTTTCCAAGTTACTTTTTTTTAGGTCAACGCTACTTAAAAGCCATGCTGGTTAAAGTTTTGCCAAATAAGCACAAAGCTAACCCTCGCTGAAGAAAAAACTGTACAGCCCATGAATTTTTAAAAGTTCATACATAATATATCATGAAAGGAGGATGACTAATATGGAAC